GCGTTTGCTGCTTCAGCGTATTATTGAATTTAAAATGAACGAAAATCAACGTAAAACACCAGTAGTAATTAATTTGTGCGTAATTTTTGGACCTTGAATTAAAATACAACCTTGAAACATACACACCGCAAAGGGGAAAAGCCGTAGCAGACTACCAAGGTAGACGCAAACCGGAAGTGAACCGAGCATGGGTGAGTACTTATGGGACTACTGTACCAGAGCTATCAACTGCGCTCTGCACTATCTGAGTTGTTTCACTAGTTTAAATAGGAATCTTTTTTATACGAACGTTGAGGCTGAGATTAACCAAGATAAGAAAGTATTAAGAACGTATTAAGAACGCATTAAGAACGTGTTAAGAACGTTTGAAAACGTTTAAGAACGTATTGAGAACATTCCTGAGGCTGAGAGTGAATTAAGAACATTTCTATTTTGCTAATCCCAATGTATTAAATGTCAAGCATAAAATATAGGTAACAAAAAATGTAAAATTAACACAAATACTTAAGAGCATGTTTTGTATAACTCTAACAATGGTTTTCTTATTGCGTGACACACATCTTGGTTTGTAATAATCAGCAATCTTATTTACAACTGTTCCAAAATAACTTCCACACCATCAAATTCATCAGGTGATCATGATACAAAGTCTGAAGTATTATCAAAGTAGTTGACCTTGTATACCATGTAAATTTAAGAACATCTTAAGAGCATGTTCAGCCTCAAATCGCAAAAAAAATATAAGAATGTATAACCCCAGCACCAAAATTAGACGTTCTTACATAAAAAAGAGTGTAAAGTGATGAACTCTTGTTATAGAGGCAACCCTAGATATACAATATGTAATCAGTTGTGTTAGGCTTACTATAATACAGTTGTGAATAAATACTTTATATTTAAGGACCAAACCAGAGCTTTTTTATTTTTCTGGTACTCAAACTTAGCCTTAATTGCCAATAAGTACCTCAAAATCCAAGAACCTATTTTGCCAGACTTCAAAAAATGTAGGTTCTTACACGCGGGTTTTTACTGTAAGTAATCGATGGGTAATCACTATATAAAAGCATCAATGAATAATCAATGAGTAATCGATATTTTTGATAAGTATTCGACAGGCCAAAACATTATTGGTCACCGATTAGTCATCGATTACTCATTGATCATTGCTCAATCAATCAGTCAACCAACCACCCAATAAACCAACCAACCAATCAACCAACCAACCAACCAACCAATCAATCGATCACTCACTCACTCACTCACTCACTCACTCACTCACTCACTCACTCACTCACTCACTCACTCACTCACTCACTCACGAACGAACGAATACAAACTGGAAAATATGAAAATAAAGGAGCATCAATCCCAGTAGAGGAAAGAACATGCTTAGTATGCAAAGAAAATTGCGTAGAAAACGAACAGCATTTCTTGATGTATTGCCAGGGGTACGCTACCATAAGAGTTGAGCTCCATTCTCACATTTCAAACAAAGATGCACTTTACGCAAATCTG